ACATGCCTTGAAATCTGCATGTACTCTCTAGTTTCCCTAGAAGAAAGCTAAAAGAGCATTTCTTCAGTGGGAATAGTTGTGTGAATGGAATGTCATTAATGTTTCCAGCCTCAGTGTGACAGACGAGAGATCTGCTCCATCGTTAGAATGTCACCAGACCCGAGGCCTTCCCGGCTGCAGCAAGTTCCAGTTAACTCCAGAAAGTTCTGCCTTCCCAAAGGAGTGCCTGAAGGTAAAGGGGTACAGACTTGGTTCTATACTCCTGGATATATAGTATATTGTATATATATACTGGGCAGGTGCTAACTGGTTAGTTGAGTGTTTAAAGGTTGTTGGGCTTTTTCTTAAAGTCTGAATATTTGGAAAAATCACAAGGCTAAAAAGAGGGAAAGATGCAGAACACTTCAGTTCTGGCTTAATAGTGTTCTTGTGCAACAGTACTTTATTAAAATTGCATTAATGTTTTCTCCTCCAAGGATCTTTAGCATAGGAATTAATACAGTCAAAGGCTACTTCAGAATTAAGGCCGTACTATTATTCTGTGCTATATTTCTAGGGTGAGTAAGCCTGAGTTGAACTTTGGTATTCACTACCACCCCTCCACCAAAGTAGTTCAAGTTATCAGTAATGTTTCTCTTCAAAAATTACCAGTTTCTCATAAGGTTTCTGTTCTTTTTTCCTGTAACCCTTAACATAGGGAAAGCTCCTTTATTCACTTCCTTGGTTTTTGTTGTACAAAAATGAGAACTGTGAACAAAACTGTCTCATCACTTAACACAGAGGTAAAAGCCTCTCCCTTTCCCATCTCTGATGAAGTTTCTTGGTGTACCACTGGATGGCACGTGTCTTCCAAAGTTTACAGTAATTCTTCTACAAGTTGCTTGCAAGTTGAGTGTCATTTATTCTGTTTTAATTCAATACTGCCACACTATATACTGCATAAGTGTGGCAGCTTTCAAAAATACTGAATACACAAAAATTTTCATTTGCACTCTCTTAGGTCCAAATGTCTTCCTACTTTATTACCAGTTATATGCAGCACCTAGAATGCAGGGAAGTGCTTGTAAGTGTGTGTGTATGTATGTATTAATTATGTATTAATTAATGATACTCATCTGACGCTTCTGTACAGATCAAAGAACTGGGATTGTGCTGGGTCATGTGCCCAGGCAGATTGTGGTAATACAGAACACAGGTTGTACTTGGTGGGCAAGTGAATCAGAAATCAGCAAGTAGTGTTGTCAGAACAAAAGTTTGGTTTTCTTACTCCTTTTCTAGAGGGTCCTGGTATCAGGAATTAGACTCCACTGTGGTGGGGCATTTATGCTGGATGTTTTATTCTCTGCTCAAGGAGTCTTTCAGATGATGCTGGTATCCATTAGGAATGTACATATACTCAAAAGTATTGTCCTCTTCTCACTGGTAAATGAGATCTGCAAGATCCAGACTCTTCCAGACAAATGCTAGCACTGGATATATCTAGTGAACATCTGAACAGCTGGTCAGATCATTGAGCTTTCTTTAAATGTGAGAATGTTTATTGACATTTATTGACAATATATTGACAATTATTTATTACTTTTTTTTCCCAGATTCTATAACGAGTACCAAAAATTGGATCTACTGTAAACGGAGATGAGATTTTTGGCTCTCAACAGGAGTTAACAGAAGAAATGACTGTCTTGCTGCTGTGACAGGGTGGTAAAACAGAACTCCTAACTAGCAAATAATGGTTGTGTGTATGTTGTTTGACATTTAGTATAACGTGTTTCAGTAAGCTAGTAAATACTCAAGTACTTTATATTAAATTATTTTGTACAGCAGCTAGATCCTGTTCTGGGCATTATTCTGTAAGGATTCCATAAAGATGATTCTTCAGTTTGTTTAGATTTTTAAAAAGTTTGACTGAAGAACAGCAGACCAAATGCCTTTAATATAATTACTTTTGGCTCTCTCTCTGCCAAGATTTCTAGTTTTCTCTACCAGCATTAGCATCTAAAGATGGGACCTCTGTTTAAGTGTTAACATTGACTGTGAAGGTAACTGCATGTCCTGGGAGTGGCCATGAAAGCATTCATGTACTCTTGGAGACCCAGAAGTCAATAGTATGCCACCTTTAAACTCCTTGAATGCTTAGGTCTGCAGAACTTTGGAGGTACAGTACTGTGAGTTCTGATGTAATTGGATTTCTGAACATGACTACAGCTCATCTTCACCCCATCATCTCTGAGAATTGGCTCTTAATGATCAGCACTGTCACCATTCTGGGCACATCCACTGCCCAGCCACTGCCATCTCAGAGTTCTTCCTGCTTCATCTCAGGTATTTTGTAATATCATCTCTCTCAGTCATTGTTCCTTCTAGTGGCTTCAGACTTAAAGTAAATGCCTTACATGAATACAATGGTGGGAAAAACCCTTTTATAGCTGAACTGTTTGAAGAGATGGATATTGACATTCTGGATTTTCGGGTTACTGCTCACACTGTGTCCACATAAGTCAAATTCCCAGTCAAATTCCCAGTGCTTCCAGTTCAGGTTGTGGATTGTTAATTCATAAATGTTGTTCTTAATGTGCTGAATGTCTCAGAAAACACTGTCAAGAACAATTTTTTTCTGCTTGAATTCATTGCACATTAAAGTAATTTGGAGCCCTACAGTGTTCTCATTACAATATCCTTTACTCAGACTTTCTCTGGACAAAAAGGAAGTTTTTCAATGTTACAAAATGCTAGTATGGCTTTCAAAAGTCTGAGCTTGTTTCTCAGTGTTATCACCCTGGAAAATAGTTCTGTATTTCCTAAAAGAGCATTAAAAGAAGACATACAAAATCCACAACTGTAGTTTGACTGCATTTGAAAATACCTGTAAAAGTTCAAACCCTGATCTTTTCCCCATTGCTCTGGGGTAGAAGGAAGTGCAAATAATTGCTGCTGGATTAGTCTGTGAACAAGTATTATATAAATATTCTGAATAGCTCAAGGTTAAAAATTATGCCATTAAGCTATTTTTCTTTTAAGCATTAATAGAATGAGTTCTGCCAATAATTCCTTGGAGTCCTGTCGGGTATGCTTTTAATTATTGATATCCTTGTTCTTGCAAATACTAAATCACTAGTAATTATGCAAGAATCTAGAGCCCCTAGGAGACAGAGGTGAGCTCCTTGACGTTGCTTTAAGCAAAAATGAAAGTTACATATTTAGTAAGTTTACTTGAATGATCATCATAATGCTTATGATGATTATTCAAGTAAAGGATGGTCTAAATAAAGATATGTCTATTGCAAGGATATTCTGGAAGTCATAGGAAAAAACACTTATTTTGCCCCAGGCCATTTGGTAGTGTTACACAAAGAGACTAATACTGGCAAACTAATTGGAAAGTATAAGAGAGGAAAACATGGTCTGTAAGTGTGGAATTGGCTGTAGCAGCCTGAATATTGCTGGGGTTTGTCTTTGTTTTTCTTGATGTGATGAGGCTGTATAGAAGGACAGAAATATCATGAACCACAATCTCTTGTCCTTCCCTTCAGTTATGAAAGCACTGCTTCTTATCATCTTTTGTCTGACTCTTAGAGAAAGTGTAATTAATTACCAGGCTAGCTCTTTGCCCCAGGGAAGGAAATTCATTTTGAGGCTGCAACAATCCCTACTCTTGTTCTGCTGTTCTCAAAGGAAAGGCATTTTCCCATAGTTTGGTTTTCAGCTGAAAAATTACTACATAAAATTTCATTCAGAGTGGAAACTGGCTCTTCCATATTGGTAGATAAAGGTTATGGGTCATGGCCAGTTAATGGGTAGGACTGAGGAGGTTATTTTGCAGTGATTCAGGAGAAGAATCTGTTCAGTGTCACCAGGGCTGCTCTGTCACATCCCAGACATGATGAAGTCTTAATGGCTTGAATGGAATTGCTTCCAGCGAGTCAGTCCATGCAAGAGCTCTGATAATCCTTTATCAGCAGGAATTGTGCATGGCAGATGCATGTTGAGTAAATGTATTGTACATAAATCTGTAAGAGGTTTTTCATTAACACTGTTCAGTTATTCTTGTTATCTGAAGTGGACTTTTAGAAGACTTTGACTCCAAGTACTCAGAGATGGTGGGAGATGTCTTGTACTGGAGCACTACAAGGGTACATGTACAGGTCAGTGGAGGGTAAAGCCCTACATGAAAATGGTTCTGGTTTGGTTCATAATCTTTAGACACAGAAGAGATGTCTGGGGCCCAGATCAAAATATGCTGAATGTACACATGAGTTCACTTATATTTAAAGGGACTCCATCAGCTTGAATTGCAATGCACTTGAACTTAGCTAATCCTTCATTGCTCTAAGTTGTGAAACTACTGAAAGCTGAGTTACATACCCTGGCCAAAATTCTATCATTTTGTTTTGTTCCCTGAGGACATTTTATCTTTGAGACTGTATTTATGGGCTCCTCTTGAAGCCAGGAGGCTTCCACATGGTGAAAGGATGTAAAGATTGCTCATGTGTAAATGTGTGGCAGCCACGTGTGTCTTCCATACAGAACAAGGGGAAAAGATGCATCTAAACATTAATTCCTGTTTTGTGTTAGAATTGTCCACAACTTGTGGTAGATGGAAAATGAAGTTCCTACAGATGGATGATTGTGAAGAGTCATTCTATAGACACGTTACACATGTACTAAATTATGCCTTAAAAATAATGCTTAATTTAATCTTACATCATACATTGTTTTAGTTTAATTTAGTTTAATTCCATTTTCCAGGGAAAGCAGATGAGTCAGTCACTTTTGTCAGTCCCTAATTAAACTTCCTATCAGGGTTGTATCTGAACAGTGAGACATTGAAGGAGACTGTTTGCTGTTACCAGTGTTTCTATTTCACTTAAGTATTACGAATAAAGAGTTTTTTAAAAAGGCATGAATCCTTTCGATTTTAAAAACCTTTTTTTTTTAATTTGTTTTGGAGTCAGTTGCTGGGCTTTATGTCCTAAATACTCTTTCGTGGATGGTTATTTTACCTGTAATGATGGCTTCCTCTGCCATCAATTACACGCGTTCCACCTTCCCTGTAGGTTTTGACTCCAGTGCATCTGGGCTGAGCCGTTCTGCTACAGCCGTGGGAGAATCGCTTCTTGTACCTGGAGGGAGAGCGGGAAGGAGCTGGGTTTTCGAGGGTTGGGGTAAAAGACGTCACCTTTCTCTGGTGCACCCCTGCACGCCGAGTACCGACGGCGCTGGGTACAACCACGGGAAGGATCTGATGCCTCGATCGTGACCTCCTCTCGCCTTCCTGGGCCTCCTGCCTTTAACTTCCGTCCGAAGAAGGAAAACACAACAGCGGCGCGTTATCGCCGCCCCCGGGGCATTCCTCGGCCCTGCCCCCGGCTGAGCCCCTCGTGAGCGGCGCTTTTCCCGCACACGCTGCGGCCGGAGGAGCGTGAAAGGCCGAGCCGGGTGAAAGGGAGAAACCCCGACCTGCCCCGGGCTCGGCGCTTCCCGCGGGCTCTGCGGGGCTCCGCAGTTCACTTGGGGCCGCCCCACGGGGCCCGCCCCGCCCGCCGGCCGGCCCCCGCTCCCTGCGTCCCTCCCCTCGCTGCCTCCTCCCCTCCTGGCAGCGCCGGGTGACTAATTTCTGTCATATGACTGTGACACCGAATGGAGCGGGGCGGGCGGAACTAGCCGCGGCGAAGGGACGGCGCTGCGCGGAGCCCAGCGCCTCGGCGGCGGGGGCAGCGGCAGCGCCCCAAAATGCCGCCCACCCTCTTCCAGAAGCTCTTCAACAAGAAGCACGGCCTGATCTCCCCGGCCAGGGACGCCCGCGACGACTGTGTCTTCAGGTAACCGGGACGGGGTCGCGCTCCTCCCATGCCCCAAACTTCTGCTCCGAGTTCCTCGCTCCCTCCGTAGCCCGGAGGACGCGAGGGCTGGCAGACCCTTCCCTGCCCCATCGGCAGCTCCTCGGCGACGCGTCCCGCTCCCCCCAGCCCCGGGGGATCCCTCCCCCGTCCTCCCCGGGAGCCCCGGGGCCGCCCCGGCCGGGCCCCTCCGGCGGGCGCGGGGCAGGAGCCCCCCGGGACCGCCACGTCGGGGCCGCTGCGGTGCCTCCGCTCGGCTGCCTCCCCACCGGGGCCGCCGCTCCCAGCGCCGGGCCGTGCCTCGCCCCCGGCCCGCAGCTGCCTCCCCTTCCCCGGCGTGTGTGAGGCCCCGCTCCCCGCGGGCCCCTCCGGGGATGCTGCGGGCCGGAGGAGGGCGACAGGCGGGCGGGTCCCCAGGGAGCAGCCCCAGGAACGGGGAGAAAACGTGAAGTTTTGGCGAAGAGAGGAGTGGGGCTTGTAGCGAAATTCGTCATGCTCTGACCGCAGCAGCAGCAGCCCTGGAGCGGCCGAGCGGGGCCAAGCTCAGCGCGGGGAGCAGGGCAGGGGCCCCAGGGCAGCCCGAGGGGCCGGGGGGGCTCGCACGGCCCGGGCCGGAGCCTGTGGGGCCGGGGCGGGCAGAGGCTGCGTTCGGGGGCTCTGCGGGGCCTGGGGCTCGCCCGGGGCTTCCGCGGGCTGGTTTGCTTGGAAACAGGTACCTTTTGTGCTGTTCCACGCGTGGATAATGGTCAGGCTCGAAAGCGATGCCGTGTCTGCATCATGGCAAAGAGAGAACCTTCGCTATCGTTTCAAAGTGCGGTTTGCCACCTAGATGGAAATAAAATCTGCTTCATTAGTAAGAGTTACGGGCTTCTTAAAGCACTTGTAACAGTGTGGTGAAGCTCTCTCCCTCTCGCTGCCTTGAAATTTACTGCCTACGAATGATCAGCCCTTGGGTTGCTCTGTAAAGAGACATCTCTGACTGATAGGCTTAATTTTCTGTGGTGGGATACCCCTTTGAGCTGCAGTATTTAGCAGTTTAGATGGAGAACAGTGTATCTGCAGTTATTTAAGCACAAGGGTTTTCAAAAAATACTGATTGGACTGTATGAGTCCTCAGGGAGTCAAGACACGCTGGACATTATCTGGAGCTCACACAACTTTTTAAGACACTGATCCGTAACTGCTTTCACACCTCTCTGATATTCACTGTGGAGTGAATCCTTTTTTAAAATTATCTTTTCTAAGAAACAGAATGTTTTAATGATGCCACTGTCATTTTATTTTCCAAATCATCTTAATACTGGACCAGAGCCCTTGATGGGGAAGGGAAGGGGTACTAGGACTGCTCTGTATCCTTGTCATGCCTATTGCCCTGCCTTTAGTGATAGGCTTGTCTAGAGACTGGTGGCTCAGGCAACAGCTGCAGTGCAGACCTGGGGCAGAAATGTGGGAATCACACCCGTGTTGAAAGGACGAGAGTGAGTACTTGGCAAGGTCTGTGCTTTCCTCGTCACCTGTATCATTCTGTGCCAAACTGGGTCTGAAACTGATAGTGCTGTTTCACTTTGTGATAAGAATTGTCAGCTGGTAACTGGTGAATTTGCAGCTGGGTTTTTTTTGGTGGACCCACAGGTATAATTTGCAGGGATAGGCTGATGAGGCTCTGGGGAGGATGGGAGATCCAGGGCTGACTTAGGAGAGCCAAGTAGTATTTTTGAAGATTAATACAGGTGCTCTCTAGGCACATTACCTGATGGCTGCTTTCATTTTCCAAACAAGGCTAAGTTTATAACTAAGATCACAACTTGATAGGATTATCAGTTCCTGGCAAAACTTTCAGATAATACTCAAAATAAGGACTGGTATTTTTGACACCTGAATCTTTGGAGACTGGAAATAAGCACTTTAGAGTTAGACTGTTGCTGGTTCCAGTGAACCTGAATGCAACAGCCTCATCAATTCCACTGGAGCAAGGTGATGTTTTATGGATTGATACATTATATCTGTTTACAGTCTAAATAACAGAGCATTTCCTAAATATTCTGAGTGCTGTTATTTCTGTCTGTCTTCACTTTGAAAACACAGGTCTCTTACTGAGAAGACTGTGTAGAGCAACCATAAAAATGCATAAATTCTCTTACTATGTTTTGTGAATAATATGTGCTTGGAGAGAAGAGCCCAATTACTCTGGCAATGACATTACTATAGCAGAACATTTAAGGATGATTTTGCCACTCTTTTTTTTTTTTTTACTATCAATATATTTTACGTTCCATCAGGCTTATTGTGAAAATTCACCAGGTTTATTTATCTGACCTTACACTGTTTCAAAAATAAAACAATACTTTTCAGGGGAAACATTTTGTTTAGTTGTTGATTTGTTTGTGGTGGGCTTTAATTTATTTTTTTTTTTAATTTCCTGCCAAGAATCTCTCTCTGTGCTGTGGGTGTGTGAAATTTTGTGAGCCTAAGTATAGTCAAACTCTGTAAAACCCTTTGGGACTAGGTGCTGGAGAAGTTTAGAATTAAGAGGTTTAGTAATGGGAAGAATAAGTTAGCAATTATAAAATATTTGCTGAGGTGCCAGTTTGCCATTTATAATATTTTTAATATATATATATTTATATATGCAGTTTATTTACAGAAGAAACTTTAGGAAATCACAGTAGATCCATTCTTGTTAGTTTGTTAGCTCTTCCATTTAATTCAGGGTGATTGACAGGCTTGGCCCTTAGACTGAAATCTCTTGCTACAGCTTGACATTCACATGGTGAGCAAGAATATTCAAATTTGAGTGGTAAAATCTGTTTACAAGAAACACAGAAACACCTGCAAGTATTCTAGTAGGGAAAAGTAAAGCCCTTATATTCCAAGATGTAGAGTACCTGCTGTCTACTGCAAATAATACTCATGTGAGTGGATTTTCCCTGAGGGTAATTCTTACTATAAATAGGATCTCTTTGCCATATTGTAGCATCTGGCACAGACTGCTGCTGGTGACAGGAGAGCTCAGCCCAGGCTTGGGCTGTTACAGTTATTAGGAAAATAAAATTTCAGGTAAGCTGTTTTCTAGAATTTTATAATCAAAGCATCCCTGTTGTAAAAATACATAAAGGTGTTCACGTCAGCTGTAAGCTGTATGTATCTAAAATGGAGATACACTTTAAAATAGTAAATAAATAAACTCTGTTTCAGTAAGATGCAAATAATCTTACAAAGACTTCCTTAAATTAAGCAGAAGCAGCCATGCATTCTGCTGTATATTATATGGGCACACAAAACATTCTACTGCACAGTTGCATTACTGACTGCTACAGATAGTGATTTTCAGCTGCTGTGTCTTTCCTGGCTTTCCAGGGATCCACTTCAGCCCTTTGGAGAAAAGGAAGCTGGTCAGTCACTGAAAACTCAACCAGCTTTTTGTTCTTCAAGATGGGCTCAGTAGATTGAGCCCAAAGCTCAGTAAATTACCAAGAGGGCTGAGGCTTTGTATCCTTGTCAGGATGTGTGGGCAGTGTTTCCAATGGTAAATACAGCTGCAAGGGCTGCAGCAGGGTTTCTGCAGGAGAGAGGGTTGGGAGCCTGATGGGACCTGGGGCACTGTTAGAATGTGGCAGAGGGAGGGGGATTGTCTTGTAACACTGAACTGTGGGATGTGTTGGGGCTCCATGGAGGAGGAAACTCAGTGGGGATTTTTTCCATCTCATGTATGAAGTTCAAATACTTGTTCCCTTCTGTCTCTAGACATCCTGCCTGCCTAGCTGGAGGATAGAGGGATTATTAATCAGGAATTCTTTTTACACTACAGTTCAATAAAAACTTCAGTGTCTCTTTTTTTATTTTAATCTAGGGAACTCTAAAGAACCATCTCACCCTGAGGGGCATTCCACTGATGTTTGCAAACTCTGTTTTGCTCTTGTTAAAGCACCTGTTGTAGAGGTACAGCTGTGTGGTGATTGTTCAAGCTTGACAGAACCCCTTCCAGTTTTAGGTCTTACCAATGGTGTGGGGTATCTTTGGGGCACATTCTTCCTTTAGGGCTTTGCTTTGGTTATCTGGGTATTTTTGAGAATGAGTGCTGTTTTTCAAGCTGGGAGATACAGGAATAAATAATTTTAAATGTTCTTTATGATAGAGAAAGCCATTTTTGGTTGTCCTGGACATGGGCTTTCTTGAGGTCTTCAAGTAATATGTGCTGCTCTTTATTGAGAGAATAGTTTGCCAGGTTCCTGAGATAGGACTGGCCTCAGGCTGACTGCAGAGTAGTATTTCCTGAAATCTGTCTAGGCAAGCATTCCCCATCAGCCCAGACTCTTTCTGTTCTCTGTGGCAGTGACTTTAAATGGTATCCTGAGATTTGTTTCCTTTCACATAATTTTTGGCAGTGGCATTCATCAAGGGAATTACAATAAACCTAGAGTTGTAAATGGGTAGTTTGATACAAAGATGCTTCATGAGCCAGTTCTTCTGCAGAGCTATTGTTCTTGCACAGTAAAAATGGTACGTGCTTTCTTACACAAGCATAATTGCTTCTTGAACCAGAGGCTAATTTCTTGGAAAAAAGTGCAAAGAGACTCAGAGACATTTATTAATGTGTAGCCAGGGACTACTTCAGCTTTTTAAAATGAAGCCTGGAGTACAGTGAAGGAGGAACATGAAAGTTGTCTTTACATTGGTATTTCCAGTCAAAAGTTTTACCCAGAGAACTTTTTTCTCAGGAGCAGGTAGCTTTGTGTACAGCTTGGCTGAGCCCAGGAAAGCAGATCTCTTGCCAAATTGTGTCAGTTCTTGGGAGCAATGCAGCCAGCAAATTCCTGATCCTGGTACTTCTGCACAAGGCTTTTTAAAGTTGTTCCTCAGCAGTGCATCAGGCCAGCCTGACCAAAACCTGTTGTTAATGAAACAGCATGTTTTGATGTCTGTTCATTTCTGGCATTCTGTGAGGTTTTTTGTCAATATTTGTAAAACTCCTGGAATTTCAC